TCATCCCTCTCTTGCCCTCTCATCCATTTAGTTTACCCCTTTCCACCCCTGTTGGAAGCTCTGCTCTACTCGCCGTTGCAGGAGCACTGCGTAGCCATGCAGGTGGTAGCAGTAAAGAGGGGCTTATAAAATCCAGTCTTGCATCTAGAGTTCAGCTCTACTCCTAAACGCAGATACCAGGCACTGCTGCTAGTCTGGTTTCCTAAGAAACACAGCTTATGCCATGGTGATGGGTATGTGAGAATATACACGCATCTATCCCAGTCTTTCAGTATTTTAGATCCACTGGGCTAATACCAACCGTATGTGGCTGCAGGTGTAGGAGCTTCACGCATATTCAGCATCTCCAGTATTTTTGTGAAAACAGGATACAAGGCAGTGAAAACAGGATACAAGGCAGTGACAACAGCCATCCCCACTGAGGGGAAAAACTGTTGTGTGAACTCAACCTTTACTAGACATTGGAGAATCATATGGGGGAGTGCTGCTGAAGACAGCCCTGACTGTTCCTAGAGTGCTCTTTGTAAGAGTCAGCAGAAGCTTTGATGCTTCCTGAAGTGGGGCTCTACAACTGCACAGCATCCCAGAGGGTCCCAGCACACTTAATGTGGGGCAGGAGTGTGAAGGTGAAACTGGCCCTTGGAATTTCCTACATCTGCTGCGGAAGCTGCTGCCACAGGGCTAACCTACCCATCTGCAGCCTTCCCATCTGAGGAAGGTAGTGCCGTTTGTGGGAGTCGCATGGTGAGGAGCTATGCAGGCAGAGGAGGAAACCACTTCGCGCAGAGACAGTTGAGGGGTTTTGGCTGGCTGCACTGTCTCTCCAAAGTGCCCAGATGCTGCAAGTCCAGGGGTCCCTGCTGGGTCCTGACAGTCACCAGTGATCTGAAGACACCTCTGTATGACTCCCCAAGTAGACTCTCTATGGACATCTCCCCTTTCCCATCCTCTTAGGTAACTTCCTAGGCTTGAATCTGTGATGCACTTGAGCTTTAAAACCTTTCTCCCCAAGACACTGGGCTGGTATTAAAGGTACTGAGGACAGCTAGACCCAGCTCTTGTAGCCTTGGAGAGCAGCATTCTGCCATCTGTACTCTGGGTACCTCCCTCTGCTCATGAGAGAGGCTGTATCCTGCTATAGCATCTCCTGAAGCAAGAGAAAAGGGCTGTGACAAAGCTGCCACAGTGTCACCTCTGGACTTGGCTGCTTCACCCACTTGTTTTGTGTTTGTTTGCTTTTCTGTGCTGATGCAATGAATTAAGTCATTTTGTGGGTTGTGCCAGCCGCTGGCAGGCTGGCATCAAACATATGATATAGATTGTCTTTTCTGGGGACATGTCATTCCCACTTTGTCCCTTTGTATCTAGCTTCTCCCAACCTGAGAAGCTCTGCCTTCTCCCAGCTGTCAGGCCTGTCCCAAGTGCCTGATCTATCCCTTTTCCCATACACAGCCCAAGGAAATGCACATTTCCAAGGGAAGGGAACCAGAATTTGACTCGGAGCTAGATCTCTCCTGAGCCCATGGTGAGATTTCTCTCTGCCGCAGATACAGAGGTTCGTGTAGGCTGGAAGGTCTACTAGAGGGGAAATGTCCCATTGATCTCTTTTAGCTGCATTGCAATGACAGCGTCTTATGTAAATGTTTCTATTTCACATAGCAAGACTATGAAGAAGATAAAAACCTAGTTCTGCTCTTAAGAAATAGAGCAGCATTACTGGGGCTGTTAGCTTGGACCAGCATGATCTGTGCCTCTGAAGCTGAAGGCTGTAGAATGGCCTGACATGATGGTGGAATAGAAGGCTCCAACTTAAACGATGTAGTTTGAATACTGGTGTCCTGTGATCTTCTGCTCACCCCTCAAAGGGTTAACTACTCACCGCTGCCTTCAGCCTGGTGATGCTCTGTCAGGGCTTGGAAGCTGGCCCTGCATAGCCACGGCTCAACCTCCAAATGATAAATCATGTCAGGATACAAAACTGATTCTGGTCCTTAAAAATGAATAGGTGATTTGAAAATGCCCTGCGCTCGGTGTGAATTGTGCATCCCCCTCATCGATCACTTGTCATAAATAACATTAACATTCAGGAGTCAGCAGAAGGTGGGCAGGTTTAGAGGGGGAAGAAATATAAAGTGATTTCCTGGTATCTTTTGTAGACCAGAATGGCAGTCTTGTTTCCCATTTAGGTAGCTGAGCAAATCTTACATTCTCTCCTCCCTGGGGAAAGGACACTCTGTGCTCTGCCAGCCAAAATGTGGCAGTAACCAGAAATAAAGCTAGGAGGTGGTTAAATGATAGGAAGTGGGGTGGGGCTTGGTTGAAAGAGGATGGGCTGAGAGGGAAGAGGGTGCAGAAAAGTGGGACCACCAGGTCCCACAGCTGTTTGCTCCAGTCGCTGCACGGACTGGAGTTTCCCCCCCATGCCCATGAACCTGTTCTCTTTGGGTGGGATTGGGGCACTTGGTGCTTCTCAGTGTGGTGCAAAGCTGCGTTTACACCATCAGGGAAAGGATGTGCTCGGCCGTGAGCCCTTCCAGAGCCACCCGCTGCCACCGAGTGCCAGCCAGCAGCACCTCAAGCCAAATGAGTTATCACCCATAGTGCCGCAGCTTTCCAAGCTGTGTCGTGGATCTGGATGCCCAGTTAGATTCCTATCAACACAGACAGTGTTTAGGTGTCCTTGGCATATCACTAAGCTGAACCTGGTGCAAAGACCCACCTTGGTTCTCCAATCAAGTTTGCAGGAAGAGGTGCCAGGGAGGGCTGTGGCAGCAGAGGCTGACAGAGGAGACTTTGGGTTCAAATTTTTCACTGACTGGTTGTTTGCTGGAGGGATTTGCTCCTGGTTTTGTTTTGTAATGGCTTTATTGCTATAGATTATAGCTTCTACTGGTGTCAAAGGCACCTAGAGTTCTGGATCACCTTCCTTTAGGGATGCTTAACTCTCAGGAAATGAAGCGGTAGAAGTAAAGCGGTTGCCAACTATTGGGGCTGAGTGTCTTCCAGTCCTGAGGATGTCCGTGAAGTGTCCATGAGAGTCAGCATGGGTGGGAGTGGAAAAAGTGCTTCTGTTCCAAGCTTGGGGATGAAGCAAGTCCTGCCCAGACCTTCACTGATTCCTCTGAGAGGTCAGAGCTGAACATCCTGTTCTTCCTTTCTTGCACAAAACCAAGTGTGAGGCTCAAGGAGTTGAACACTGAGAACACAGCCCAACATAGCCCAAACACTGTGGTAGGCTCCTGGCCAAAGTGAATGGAGACATGCCACTCATCCAGGGACCTGCCTTGGTTACCTGCTTCAGATGTCTGGGATCAGAGGTGGTGCAGCCAAGGTCAGTTTAGATGCTGGAGAGTCCTCTCTTTGGTATGTGCAAGGAGATGCCCCTGTGTTGCAAATTCTGTAGCAGAACTTGATGACAGCTGTTCTGCTGGGATTGTGCACCACCTCAATCTCATTCCCTAATGATAATAAAGATGGAAAGAGCAAAATTTGCCTCTGTCATCCACCAGGCACCAGATTCTGCTGCCTCTGAAGTGCCTGTGATTTCCAGGGGGTAGAGTTAAGCTCCTGCCTC